TTTATTTTTTTATTTATAAAACTAACACTTTTATAATAATTTCTTTCCAACAAAATTTTTATTAAAAACTTCGATCACCAAACGGGCACTTCATTTCTTACTCCCAATCCTAGATTTTGAATAAATGTACAGTCTGCAGAGTTATCCATTTGAAGTAGTTGAAGTATACTTTACTTGGGTTACCGTTGATAGCTTGGAATAAATGATGCTAAAGTAGATGGGAAAGAATTAAGGTGATCGTTGAGAAGGTAGAATTATTTTAAGAGTAAAGAATCTTATCGGTAATTAACTTTTTTTATTAAAAAAAATTTAAATTTAAGTTATATAATATATGAATAAAGTAAATTAAATGATAAAAAATAATTATTTTTTAAGATTTGTATAATCTATACTCTAAGGTTAAGGTTAAATTTTATAATTACAGAATCTATAATTAATCTTGTATAAAATTTCATATTAAATTTATACATTTTTATAAATTTTGAATATAAATATTATAGTTTATTTTATTTTTACATTTTATATTTTATTTTAATTAAATATGATATAAAAACTTATATAAATTAATTGAAAATGATGCATTTAATAAAGTTTACATACGTTTTTGTAGATTTTGAATATAAATATTATAGTTTATTTTAATTAAATATGATATAAAAACTTATATAAATTAATTGAAAATGATGCATTTAATAAAGTTTAACCTCTGTTTTTAGATCACAGATTAAAAAATTCTTATCTTTTATTATGCTATGTTATTATAATAAATATTTGTTGAGAAAAATTAAAATATTTTAATTTTTAAAACAAAAATAAGGTTATTTTAGTATTTTTTGTGATTCTTATTGAAACAATATAATTTAAGTTTTTTTTTACTTAATTTTTTGCAAATCCGATTAATAAACACTGATTTGTATATATGCCGGACTAAATCATAAATTTATAAAGTTCAGGAGCGAAACTATCAATTGTTTTATTAAATTTTTGAGAGAAGTTAGAAATCAGAAGCACCGACAAAACAAGAACATGGATTTCTGGGACTGACGCATGTTGCAAGAGATCAAGCTAATTCCAAGCTCGTGTGTGGTACGGATTTTCCACACGTCCTAGCACTAGTTTTTTTTTTTTTTTTGGTTTCCCGCCGGCTATTGGACTAATCCGGACCCGACCCACGTCACGCTCCTAGAAATGGTGGATGAGTCTCCTAGTGGGCTGCTGCATACACAAGGTCTCGAACTCGAGACCTTACTTAAACTGGAATAAGCTGCTTACCACTTGATCCAACCCATTGTTGGTACATGTCCTAGTACTAGTAATTAGTTAAGATTTTGCTTCTTAATATAACCATCTAATTAATTAATAGGTTTGTTTAAT